AAGGAATTCTGCTTATACAATATGATATGTGGATAGTATTAGAAAAGATGTTTTATGCAGTACCATCCTCTCTACCACCATCCTGCTGCTCAAACCTTTTTTTTGCCAAGTGCTGTGATGTTGACCTAGGATTTCAAAGGGTAGGCTAGGGCTCCAAAATTAACAGTAGCTACAGACATCCCATATTCATGAATTTTCTGTCACTCTGGGCCAAGGATTGCATCATAGGAAGACAGTTCCCTTTCTAGTTTGCAAAATCATGAGTATTTCAGAAATAGGGACATATAGTAGCTGTATGGATGCCATTGTTTGCATCCGCAGGACAGTTTTGGAAGCCTGAAAACTGTTTTATCATTGTTGTATCAGTGATATTAATACTTACCACCTGCCTGAGCCACAGTGGGTAATCCCTTTGCTAATGTTCATTGCTGTACCACTGACAGTTTCAGCCTGCCAGTGTTAGTGGTGAGTCACTGAAGCACAACAACTCTAATTCTTTGAAGGATTACCCTTAAACTGATTCTTTATTAGGATTTGGCTGCGCTCTAGTTTCCGGGAACTCAGGCCTTTTCCTTTTCCTGCACTGAACTTCTCCCTGTCTTATCTCCTATACCTACTGTTTGATTTCAAAAATATGAAAATGTAGTGTATTTAATTCATGGGAATGTTTAAACTATTTCCTAGACAGCAATGGTTTTCTGTGTCAGACCATGTATGGTAACTGAAAGTCAATCTTAGTTGAGATGGAAGAGAAGGTCTCATAGTTAGAGGAATAGTGTTCATGATACAGTGTCAAGGGCAGGCTGGAACTGGGGACATGAGGATATTAGAAATGCTGGGCCTTTGAAGTACAAGGATATTTTTGACTATTTGCAGGATTCTGTACCAGTTCTTATCATGAGGACCAGTCATAAAAACCAGCTGGCATTGTCGCCTTGCTGTGGCTCAGTTCACTGGAGTTACACAGGCATCACATGTATTGAAGTTACTGTTAGTGGCTCCTAATACCTTGTATAGATAGAACTGTACTGTCACTTCTTATTACTTGTCAATTGTTAGCAGCTTTAAGGATTAGAGGAGCTCATGATGATGCTGATTAGGTTATATATTTATGTGGACTGATAAACAGAGATTCCTAAGTTAATTTGCTGTGTCTGTGGACTGAACTTGCCCCGTGTGAGTTCAGAGGTTGACCCAAACCAGCAATTTCAAGCTGTGTGTGATGTGTCATTCCTGTGCATAAATCCAAAACGTCAATCCTGAAATTCCCTGCTTGCTGTTGGAGAGAGCAGTCGTAACTGCCTGTTAGAAGACAAGCATACCTCTGTTTTCTGTTGCAGTGTAAGAACTGGAGGCAGACATCTGCTGGGCACTGGAACCTATGACAGGGGCAGGAGCTGGTGGCCTCCACACTCACCATGGTACCAGAAGAAACAGCCACCTCAGCAGAGCACAGCACTTGTGCTCCTGAACCTGGACAAGAGGCCAGCATTAGTGGTGTTGTCAATGACAATTTAACAAGTGACCCATTGTTTCCCCACAGCGGTGCTTTACTGAAGTCTGTCATGTCACAGGAGGCAATTCAGACCAGATCATTCTGACTTGGCCAGCCTCTTCTGATTCATTCTCTGCTGGTCTCTTCTTCACCAGTCATCCATCTTCCTTTGGCCCTGCAGCAGAAGAGACCAAAAGAGCTTCACCTTAGATTACCTAATGCTATTGTGGTTGGGAAGGCTTCTTGAGATGTCAGACTTGGTTTCAGCTTCTCTCTCCGAATCAACTAGAGTGAGTGGGGTTGCATCTTCTGACCTCTTAGACACTTGCCTTAGCTGTTGAACCTGCCCCAGAAACATTTGGGGCATTTGCAGCTCTCTTTTCATGAAAGGCCCTGCAGGCCTGTTCTGAAAACGCCCACAAAGTCAGGCACTACAAGTGAGGTCGGAGGGAGAACCACCAGATTTGAAAATCTTGATGTCAACCCAGGGCTCCAAGCAACTGAACAGCATCAAGACTTAGCAGGTTTTGCGCATGGCCACCTGCAGAAACTTAACATGCTAATAAGGTCAGGTACTGAATGGAATTTTTTATCATCTCATTGGTGCCTGAAAGCAAGACTTTAGTCGCTTAGGATGAATTGATCTCACCTGTCTTCACACGTCCACGGGGTAGATACCTGTGTCTGACTATGTCACTGCAGCCTTGCTTTGTATTCAGGGCAAAGAAACAGGCACATTTAGGGCATGATTCATCTGACCTACTTCACACATTTCTGTGAAACTCATCCTTATTATGGCATTTTAGTCTTTAAATCTTTGTGATTCTGAAAATGTACTGCCTATTAGTGTCTTTAAAATTACTTGTGAATAATCATGCTGTTACAGTAGTCAGAAGGATTCAATTAGTAGGCTGCCAATAACGTATTCATATTCTTCCTGCAGAGCAAAACCTTTCCTTGTGTCGAAGCAATTTGTTTTAATTTTGTTTTTCTACAGAAATTATTCAGAGGCTGCATGTGTGTGTGTTGGAAATTCTGACATGACTGTGGGTGTTGTCTTCTTTTGCTTCAGATAAACTTCGAAGAAGCATGCCTAACCTCGCTCGGATGCCAAGTACCCCCACCATTAACAGTAACGCTGGCTTTGCTAGTTCTCCAGTCACTGTGAGGAACAGCCAGAGCTTTGACTCCAATTTGCACGGAGCAAGTAATGGGATTTCAAGGATGCAGTCATGTAGTAAGTATCTGTGTTCTTCAGCTGCACACAAGGAATCAATAAAGGGGCAAAATACATGTCCTGGTCGCTGATCCTCTGCTTTATGAAAAATTAAGAGCAGACTGCGTTCCTCTTGCACCAGATTTTAATATAGCTCAGGATTTTCGAAGTTTCTATTTTGGAAAGGAAATCCTGCTGATACTGTTACGCAGTATTGAGAGTCTCATCACCTTTTTTTTTTTTTTCTTTGCCTGTTCATTATGTGCCAACTTTAAAACTGAAATTATAATAAGTAGTAGTAGTATAGAAGCACCAATAATGCAATTAATTCATATAAGCTTACAACTTTAGTTTTGATACTAGAATTGAAAACTGCTTTTCTTGGTAATTTATACAATGCTGGTTGTACAGTACACTGTATAACTACTACCTTAAAATACATGACTTCTCTCCTACTGTAGTTGAGCCATTTTCTTCCAAGCAAATGTGGTAAACAGAGGGTTATATCCTTAAGTGTAATATACTTGTTGAGCGGGGAAATTAAAATTACTTTGTAATTAGTTTAATTTAAGTGACTTCTTGATGGGGGGATGAAAGGAGTATTGATCCAGTGGATGTTGAATTATTAATATAGAATATGAACAAGATAGGTCAAGATCCAAACCCATCTTCTGTAGCACAGTGGTTGAGGTACTCTGAGGAGAAATGGAAAAAGTGGATTTCATTGGACACAGGCAGGAGAAAGGATTTAACTTATGCTTCCCATATCCTGTGAGGTTTTGGAGGGAGAAGTGGGCAAAATCTTTTCCTGTGGGTGCTTTCTTTCAAATTTGAGCAGAATTTACAAATGTCTTCAAGACTATTAAACCACATCTTTTCTGGAAAATATACTTGACTGCTGAACACATTTTTGTCCTGTTTGAATAGGAGAATGGAAGTAGTTGTTCAGGTTCCCACTTGAATTTGCATGGTGTGGTGCTGAGGGTTTATTTTTATTTACTATTAGAAATATATTTCTCTGTGTGTTTATGTATTCATATATGTGTGTATATAAAATGTGATTTTTCTGAAATAATTTTTTGAAAAACAATTCTAAGTGTCTGTGCTGGGGAGTTCAAGGAGCTGTGTTATGATGCGAGTTCCATAGCAATATATTGCCAGTATTTAATTCAATCACACATCTGTATTTTCTCCTGTGTCTTTAAATGATTTTAAGATGCCCTTTTTCAAAGACTTGAAAAAGGATTGGCCTGTGTGCGCTATGTTAGTCTTTGTGCTTCAGGCTTTTGACGGTTTGCTTTTGATATGTGGGCTCTGAAACAGATGTATGTCTGATGTACACCAGAGGGCAGGATTGTGTAGAAAATCTATATACAAAGCTTCTGGAACCCGAAGCATTGATTTTTAAGGTGATAGTTTAGATAACATCAGCCTTTGAATATACTGTTATATTCAAGACCTTTTTATAGCGTTTTTATACATAAAGCTTAGACTTCTGTGATGTTTTATAATGCTTTAATGCAATGTTCCTTAAACAAGATGTGGTTATTGCAAGCAACCTTATAAAAAATATAAATGATATAACAGTAATTAATTTATACTGTCATTAATTTCTCCTCTTAAAAACTCTAATTGCATAGGTGATATTAGTTTCATGAGCCATTACAAGCACACTTCTTTGGGAGAAAAAAGGATGAATATCAGGTGGGACTTTTATTCAGAATGGGGATGGAACAGGGTATGTTAGTTTAGTGTAGTATTACTGGAATACAGTATTGGATCCAAGGGGTTTTTCAGCAGTTTGTAATTAGCAAGTAAATTGTATAATGATGTATTTATCCCTACTCAGATCTATCTAAAAAAGAGCATTACTACCTGGCCTCATCTGTTGTGTACTGACCTTGTTACTTCCTTTTCTACCGCTCTTTACAGTTCCGTCGCCAGGACAGCTTCAACACAGAGTTCACAGTGTGGGACATTTTCCAGTGTCTGTCAAACAGCCTCTCAAAGCTACTGCCTACGTAAGCCCAACCGTACAAGGTGGTGGTGGTAGTAACAGCAGTAGCAGTATTCCAGTCTCCAGCAACTTGCAGTTATATTCTAACACTGGGATCCCAATGCCAAACAAGACTGCCAGTCAAGGGATTGTAGGGCGCAGTGCTCTTCCAAGACCATCGCTGGCCATCAATGGAAGTGGCATACCCAGGAGTAAAATTGCACAGCCAGTTCGAAGGTAGGAGTTAAACAGACCTCCTTTCCCTATGTGGATGACTTTGGGTTAGATTGTGGGTTGGTTTGTTTATTTGTTTTGGGTTTTTTTGCTGTGTTGTGTTTGTTGGTTGTGTGTGTTTGTTTTTTTCCTGCATATGAAGCTCGGCTATAAAACAGAAATGTTTCTAGCTCCCAGCGCTAAATCACTGACTGGGTGAAGACTTCTTTCCAGAAATAGCGATGGACAGTGCTTGCTGGTAGTTCCTAGTAAACTATGATAATTGATAGAGTGTAATCACATCTAAATCAGAATGGATTGGAGCCCATCAGTAAGAAACCAAAACAAATGGAAACCTCCTATTGTTAACATATATGGCTTGTGTTCCTCCAGACTTGTGCCAACTGCTATTTCAATGTCACAGTATGAGCAAATCTTAGAGTGTTCAAATAGAAAGAGTTGCACATCTGTTGCTGTAAATGGCAGTAGACTGTAAAAATGCAACTTGTGACATTACAGCATTTTAAGGAAGGAAATATCCTGGATATTTGTGCTGGTTGAACCAGCATCGTTTAAATTCCAGCTGGGAGACAACAGGCAAACAGGGAATCTTGGAGTATCACATACTTGCAATGAGCTATACTGTTAAGCAAATGCATTTTTCCAAGATAATTTAATCTCCAAAGGGTTATTTTTTTATTAGGGCAAGCAATAAAATAAGCTTGAGCAAAGAGACTGTTTTAATCACCTTAGCACAGCTGGGAGTTAAACTCTTAGCTGTATGTTCTGTGATTAATAGGTGATTAAGTTTCTCAAAGAGAAAATTCTATCAACTTGTGTCAGTTCTTCCAACTATTTCTTCCCCTGTCTTGTGAGAGCCCGCTGTGTGACCACCTGGTTTTCTGTGGGATGAACTGTTTAGCTCTCACCGTTTTTATGCTTTTCACTAGATACTAGCTAAATCCAGAGTAAGTTCAATTGCTCGCATTCTCTCTTTGGTTGAGTTACTCGGGGTTGAGTTACACTGATGTGACTGACAACAGATTTTTACCCACTGCGGTGAAACTTTCATAAAAGGCCGTCAGGTTTCTTCTTTGATGAAGACTGTACCATGAGATTTCTATTATAACCTCCTTTGCTCTCTGCTGGAACTCTGTTAGAGTTCTTTATAGTAGAGGGTTTTCTTTCTTTTTTTATTCTTTTTCCTTTCCTCCACTTCATGTTCTTCTGCAGAGCTCTTAAATCTTTCATAGCAACACGTGAGAGACTTTCTGGGCCATGAAGACCAGTCCTTTGCTATTTTGTAACTTTTCATACAACAGACAATATTAAAGAAAAACAAAATTAAGAGGTTTCAGTGGGAGGGTGATATACTACTCTCAACACTGTTTTTATTAGAAGCTGATTCAAGTCAGTAACAAAGCTTTTTATAGTCCATAAAGTCTACATCTGAAGTTCTTACCTTCAGATGTACCTTAGAATCATATGTTGTCATAGAGCTAGACCAACAATCCTTAGAGATGGATGGTCTTTGCACTGTGGGAATGACAAGTTTATAGGACTCTAAAAGCACAGGCAGAATCGGAGCTCATCCTACAGTTCTTTAAGACCCTTGTTTCATTTTATTTATGCTTGTGGAAAATAAAGACGGTTTCAGTTCATATGGAATTTGCTGGGAAGTAATTCAGCCTTCAGAAGCAGAGTTTCTCACTGTTGATTTTTGTCACTGTGGTCGTTTCTAAGGACTGGTTTTTCTGATTATCAGTTTAAGAGTATAGCTTCTTTCAGTATACTGAAAATTAAACAGTTGTTTTAGTGATGACTTGATAAAAAGTAGAACAGGTCTTTTGTTTTTTAAAAAAAAAAAAAATCAGATGTTCAGGGAGAATTGCATATTCAGAGCAAAGCTGTGTCTTCATACCTGTGCCCAGACTGTTAAGTAGCCAAGCTATATGTCTTTTAGATACTTAAAATAGGTTGTTACACACTTTATAAAGGGCCTGCATTAGGGAACTTGAGGGAGTGCTTTTGATAATTTGTAAAATAAAACTGTAATAGCCAAGATAGCCAACTTGGCTAAATATTAACTGCTTTTCTCCTTGCCATCAGAGATTCATGCATCAAAAAGCAGTGTGAAGAAATTTTAACAGTATAGTCCATCTCTAATTAGCCTTACAAGTGAGGCAGCACTTTTTTTTTATTATTATTCCTGTTGAATGGATTCATGCAACCTCCAGCACTTTCCAACTCCATGCTCTGGATTGGCAGATAGAGCTCAGAGGGTTGTGGTCAGTGGTGCAGAGTCTAGTTGAATGTCAGTGACGAGTGGTGTCCCTCAGGGGTCGGTAGTGGGTGCAGTCCTGTTCAATATATTCATCAATGATCTGGATGAAGGGATAGAGTGTACCATCAACAAGTTTGCTGATGACACAAAACGGGGAGGAGTGGCTGACACACTAGAAGGCTGTGCCACCTTACAGTGAGACCTGGACAGGCTGGAGAGTTCGGCGGAGAGAAACCTTACGAAGTTCAACAAGGGCAAGTGTAGGGTGCTGCATCTGGGGAGCAATAACCCCATGCATTAGTACAGGTTGGGGGCTGACCTGGAGAGCAGCTCTGTGGAAAGGGACCTGGGAGTCCTGGTGGACAACAGGAAAACCATGAGCCAGCAATGTGCCCTGGTGGCCAGAAGGCCAATGGCATCCTGGGGGGCATCAAGAAGAGTGTGGCCAGCAGGTCGAGGGAGGTCATCCTTCCCCTCTACTTTGCCTGGTGAGGCCACATCTGGAGTATTGTCCAGTTCTGGCCTCCCAGTTCAAGAAGGACAGGGAACTGCTGGAGAGGGTTCAGCAAAGGTCTACAAAGATGATTAGGGGATTGGAGCATCTTTCTTATGAGGAAAGCCTGAGGGACTTGGGTCTTTTTAGTCTAGAGAAAAGAAGACTGAGGGGGGATCTTATTAATGCTTATAAATACTTAAGGGGAGGGTGTCAGGTAGATGGCAACAGTCTTTTTTCAGTGGTGCCCAGTGATAGGACGAGGGGTAACAGGCACAAACTTGAATATAGGAAGTTCCATCTTAACATGAGGAGGAACTTGTTTACTTTGAGGGTGGCAGAGCACTGGAACAGGCTGCCAAGAGAGGTTGTGGAGTCTCCCCCTCTGGAGACATTCAAAACCCGCCTGGATGCCATCCTGTGCAACCTGCTGTAGGTGACCCTGCTCTGGCAGGGGGGTTGGACTAGATGATCTCCAGAGATCCCTTCCAACCCTGACCATTCTGTGACTTTTTGCAGACCTACCTTCTCACCTCCTATCCTCTATCTGCCAATCCTCTGCTTTCAATCCTTACCTAGGGGCACGATGTGAGGGGCAGCAACGACAGCTTCCCGTAGGGCAAGGTGAGCTGGGAGCAGAGTGGGACAGCCAGGCTGCCCCACAGGACCCAACCAAGAGCAGCACTGATGGTGACCAGGGTCAGCCAACAGTCCCAGTCTCCAGACAAGTCCACAATGACCCATCAGGCCCCAGCTAAAGCCAGGATGTCAATCAGCAGGTCAGGGTCTGGATCATCCTAGGTACCAGGCATAGACGTTACAGCAAGGTAAGCCAGCTCTGGAGATGTGGTGCGAAGCTTGCTTATTCCTACTTCCTTGCCCTGGAGCAAGTCACTGCAATCCAGCTGATGACAGGAAAGTAGAAAGGGACTGTAGACCCTTCAAAACTCTTATCTCAAACCGTGTGACATTGTACTGTGACAGCCTGTGCTTGTTTGAAACTGTTTTCAATGCTGCCACGCTGCCCTGTAGCAGAGATTCAGCTCTGGATACACAGCAGTATTCTTACAGTTATTTTCAACTTGGTTAATTCTTCTTTACCCTCTCCACTTTTTTTCCTGAAGGTTGTTAAACATACTTTCCTCTTTTTCTTTCTGGAAAAAAAGAAATGAAAGCAGCCGTTGCAGAAAATGGCAGAGGCAGGTTGTGTTTTATGACTCAAGTAACTGGGTTTTTATCAAAGAGAAGTGATCCCGCAACAAAGCGGAGCTGCACATAAGCAGCTTGGCTGAACCTAAGTTTAACCAACTTTTTTTACTTAGTGCAGTGTTTTTGCCACTAAAAAAAGCAGTTGTAGCAGCGAGGCGAGAAGCTGCTCTGGTGACTGCTTTTAACTTACTGACTCTGCCTGCTTTACAACATACTTCTGCCAAATGCCAAGGGCATTTGGAATGGACAGGAGGCATCAGTAACTCACAGAAAAAGCAGAGAAGTGTGAGAACAAGGCTTGAGAAGCAGTTTCACAGAATTAAGGTGCTGTTTTCAGTAAATTCTGGTCTACCTAAAATATGGTTGTGGCCAATTAGAGAGAGACTTCCTAATCACCAGTGAGTTGATGGTCAGATCAAGTCACATGCTTATTTTTCCTTTTTTCACTCTTATTTGAAACAGTTACTTTGGTAGTACCTGGAGGGTTTGGGAAGATGGTCAACATATGTTTTACAGTAAGTCCTCATTGATAAGTGAGAGATGCAGCCCGGGTGTGAGGGTGGGGGTCCAGAGGACAGCGAGTTCCCTGCAGGGGTGGTAGTACGGGAACTGGTGGCTCTCTGACTTTGGCTGTGGGATGGAAACACATCATCACTTGTCTGGATAAGAGGGTATGGAGCAGGACTTGGAGTTCTTCAACTGATAAGATCCCAAAATTCTTTACCATTAGTGCATCGTGTTTTTATAAGTGCTGTTTTTTTGATGGGCATGCTGAGCACAACTTTTTGGATAATATTTCCCATTAGATCTCTGCTGTCCATCCATATTGGAATATGTCTGCTGTCCATAGTGACACAAATAGGTTTCTATTGCCTTTAGCCCTGAAGAACGAGATCTTCTCATTTAGAGGGGTCTCATGCATCATGAGAATTATTCACGAAATTCCTTTTCACCAAACTTTTATCCTGCTAAGACCAGTAACAGTAATGGGGTCCCATTGGAAGTGGCCTTAATTTCACCTTAGATCTTTACATCTGCATTAGCATAGAGCCAGAAATATACCAGAGTGATGTCTCCAAGTGAGCCACAAAGCCAGTGTCACTGCAGAAGCAAATGATTTGTGTTACCTTGGTCTTTCATGTGAAATAAGATTTCCTTTGTGGGTTTTTTTGTCATTCTTTTAATACAGTTTTCTTCAGCCTCCAAAGCCACTTTCGTCGCTCAGCACGATGCGGGATGGAAACTGGAGAGACGGCTGCTATTGATGAAGGATACCCATCAACAGTGGAAAATAAATAATGTGGATTTCATTACCCAGCTGGCTGGGTAACAATGATTGGGAAAGGAGGGTCATACAGTATTATTTCCCCTGGGATTTTAATACGTAACCATCTATAATGCAATGTCATTTTTAAAAAATGAACATCTTATCAAATACTAAAAATTGCACTTAATCAGTTACCTGAACAGCTGCGTTGTTATCAGACTAACAATGGCAGTGTTGGCATTTGGAACTGGAGAAGGTATTATATATGTGCAAAGTACCAGAATATTTCCTTGGAGAGAACTAGGAGATAATGCTTTCCAGGCAGCTTTGCCATACTGAAATTCTGAGATAATTTATTCAGTGTAAAGGCACCACACATTTTATTTTGAATTTGGGGGGACTTATGTATGTGCTTGAATTTTTTTCTAGTGTTTCCAGTACATTTTATTTTGTATACCTAAGTTCATTTAAATTTGCCTGAACCTTGAACAACAGAGAGATAATTTAACTTTTCTGTGCCATAAATAATATTTTTGGGGTAATGTACTTTTTTAGTGCTAGGAACATATCTTAAAAAATGGTACCATTGGCAATACAAAGCAGTATATTTATGTTGCAGAAGCACAAAAAAAAAGTAGCATTCACTGGAAATTGCCATCCAGCTGGGTCAGCATGGTTTTGTTGGTCTTTCACCGTTTGTTCAATTGTTAATTTATTGTCATAGTGTCTTGTACTTAAAATGGCAGCATAAGTCACATTGCACTTACAAAGATACAGTGTTCTCTAAAACTACAGTTGGTTTTCTGTACTTTATTACAAAGAATAAAATTGTAACATTTTATTAACAATTACTTATGGAAAATGAGGTTTTAATGCGAATAAATCTTTTTGATAGATCTTTTACAAAATCCAGTTGCACTAATCAATGCTTTCTTATAATGGCATATGACTTAATATTTGATTACAACTGTGTATACTGCTGTTTTGGAATGTTTCAGAAATAAAGAATCTATTTCGGCAATAATGCAGTTCTTGAGTGTGCAATGTAAACATTGTCAGAATTTAGCATCTGACATCTACTTAGCTCCTGAAGTTTTTATTACTTAGCATTTGTAAAGATTGTGCTGGATTTTTGTGAATAGTAATTTTTTTAAATTGTTATGAAGTCGTAGTATGCATAGAAGACAAATATGTATTTAAGTCAGTCTTACTATGATCTTAAGAATTTTTTTCAATTTAATGTTCAGATTCCGCAAGTGCAAATGTGAATTGCAATGGGAAACAGATTGTGTACCAAGTGAGTCTTTTGCCCTGCCTCTGAATTTGGTCGAGGACCTGGTTTTCTTAAAAGGGCAAACTAAAATAAAAAAACAAAGGAGAAGTATTTAGTGGTGAGTAAAACCTTGATTACACTGAGAAGTGATTGTACAGTAGTGCAGTAATATCTCTGCATGGCATAACATTGTAACAGAGATAAACAATTCATTTTTCACACTTCAGTTCTTTTAATCCAGTTAAAATCCATTTCTTTCAAAAAAAACCCCAGAACTGTTGAAGAGGTATCAAGAAGTACTCCAGCAAGGAAGTTACCTCCGCACAGGTAAGTATTTGTCCTGATTTGAGGCTCAGCAGGAGTGCTTCAAACTCATCTTGTTCATAAGAAGCTTTAATTGGAGGAAGTTACTGCTGATTAAAGCAATTGGTCATTTGTGGACAATCTCTGTCCTCAACAGTTTGTCACTTACAGATTGAGTGTGGCAGGGGTGCAGAGCCATCTCTGGGGGTGCTTTGCTATTTACCTGTGACAAGGAGGGCTGCAGAACCTCCCAAATTAATAAGCCTCTCCTGGTTTCTGGTGCTAGAGAACCCATGGGATCTTTTTCATAACAGATGGCTGGAGACCAGGGGCAATGGTTAGCTTCTGCTTATTGCTGGTTGTACCAGCCCTGGCCTGAGCTGTCTCATTGCTCTGATTTTATCCCTGTTCCTCCACTATCTGGAACATCACTGCCCCACATTACTCTGAATTTTTGAAATAGGTTGCAACTTTTGGAGGTAATACTGAGTTGTACACTGGAGGGCAGTATATACTTTGAAAATGCTTTCCTTTTAGTAGCTAAAGCTTTTCCCAGGCTCTTGGTTTGAACCCAGGGCATATATTGCTTCCCAGTGTTGTGTATGTGTGATTATAACATGTTAAAGGAAGGTGCCCAACTGTTTGTGATTTGCATTTTTAAATTTCACACTACAAAATGTGTCATTAACTGGAGAGCCAAGCATTTTGGATATGATGAACTCATTGAGAAGATGCAGTTGTTTCTCCCTCTTTAATTGTCCTGTTCCCTTACAATACATTCTTTCATCGTGTCAGGAGTTGGTAACATTATAGCTTTGCTGTTTTGAGTGTTTTTGTCAAGTATCTGTCACATTGGATGCCGTCAAACTTTTGGAGGAAACCCAAGGTATAAGCAACTCGGTCTCTTCTACACTCCACCAGTCAACAGAATGACTTGTTTCAACCACAGGTGGTGGTACTGTGGCTGTTTGCCTGTAGCTGGGTGAGCTGGCTGTGTCCCATGAGATCAGCATCGACGAACCATGTAGTACTGCATCATGCCCAAAGTGTCACGTATTTGACCACAGTCTCACTGGGAGCAAAATGTGGAAAACCATTTCTGTAATGCTTGGTTTTGTGAGAGGCAGAATCTACTCCAGGGTGGTGTGAAAGAGCAAGACCATGCAGTTGTCTTTAAAATAAACAAAACCAAACTTTTCACAACTGAAGTTTCATTTCTAAGAATAAGAGAGCACTTGAGGACTCTTCAGCTTGTTTTGGTTCTTCTTTTTGGTCCATGAATGCAAATTTCACTCTTGTCTCCTTGTTGCTGAGTCCCAAAAATGACCTATCTCCTTCTGTCCAAACTGTAGTCTTGGGCTTAGTTCTTGACTTCAGGTAAGGAAACTTGGCCATCAGCTCACCTTTAGCCTTAACTTTTCTTTGGCCAGTTTTCAGCTTGTGAGATCTGACCAAACTAAAATAAGACCATTTTCCTGTCATCCTGGTTTCACCATGTCACTGCTTCAACCAATTTTTGTGTACTTCTACTGATTTCCCCCTCTCTGTGGAAAACAGTTAAAAAGAGGTATAAGCTAGTTGTATTGTTTTGCAAAGCTACAGACACTATCCCATCCCACTAGTGGTTTATCATTAAGTGGTGAAGTCCATGATGCCAGCCTGTGTTGTGCCTGTTACAAGCGAAGCACCTCCTAGTTTCCTTCTGTGTTTCTCACTGTGGGGGGAACCCCCCATAAAACATAAGGGACTCCCATTTTTATTCACTTTCAAATTCTTCCTTACAGGGTTTTTCTTTGGTGCAGTACTACTAAAAGCAGGGGAACAGTTACATGGCCAGTGTCTTCTTACTGCTCTTGAACCTGTTAATGAATACTGCCACATCTTTTTTTGTTTTTTCTTTGGTTGGCATTTTCTGCTATTCCTGAATCACAAGTTGTTGGAGACATGGGCATGGTCTTCTGCCTTTGTCTTTGTACAGCATGAAGCCCAGGATCTCAGATTCAACATTACATTCAACATGCCTGTGTGCTAGCACAAATAAGAAAAAATTATCATCTTCATATGCAAAACACTATTTAAACATCCACTATGAATGATGGGTAAGGCTTCATAATTAACAAACTTCTGCATAACACTCTCTCTTAAAAACAGGTTTGTGGTGTTTAATCCTCATGCATGACTTATCAGTTCAGAAATTCTGGATAAAAAAGAAAATGACTAAGCCTGGATGGCTTTCTCTGTCACCGTTGTGGTGGAAAGGGTATGTTCTCAGTGGTCTGGTTTAATTTTCTTTTTTTCCAGCTGATCAGAGTTTTCATTTGCAATACACCCTGCAAACTGTCTTCTCAGCCATCTTTTTCCTTTCATCTACACTTCCAACTCTTGCTTTCCCCAGATTCCCACCTTTCACGTGACCTCTGTCAGTGGTTACGTGTGCTCTTGTGGCTGGTGTGGTTCCTGACTACCCACCTCCAGATCCCACCCAGGTATTCTGCTGCTCACTCACCAGCCTGTGGAGCAGGTCCTTGGTGTGTCTTCTGTCACCTTCATTGGGACTTTCAGCTCTTACCTGGCAAGGTAAGCAGTTATACTTCATCTGAATTAATGACAGTGGAAGGGAAGTTTAAGGCATGAAGAGATGCGAACAGATCTGTGAGGGTGGTAACTAATGCCAGAGTCGGTGATCCCTCAGCAGGGTCACACCTCTACTCTCTGGTCTGACCAGGCTACCCATTAGTTTCAAGTGCAATTACAGGGGTTGGCTTTACCTGAAGAGGCCTGAGAGATTATCTTTTTACATGTGCAGTAACAACACTTCCTTCCATGAGATGCTTTGGTAAGAGAGATTAGATAGGTTCATTTGTGGACCTTGTTCCTCTTTTTTATAAGCCAAGCGTTTAGATGGCTTTGGCGTTACAAATCCCTTGCCTATAAACAAACAAAGAAAAGGTATTGGAAGTCCTTTGGTGTCTAAATGCTGATTTTTGGCATAATCCTTATGACATATTCATGATTGTACTGCTGAAGGCTTGGCAATACAAAGCGGTTCATGTAGCGGTGCAGCACCTGTCACGGTAGCATATTTTAAGCATCCTGAGCTCATAAAGGAAAAGGGGAGAAAATGAAGGTCAGAAATTTAGAAGTCTTGGTATGAAGCCTATTGCAGCTGCCATTTTCTGAACTTAGAAATGTCATTATGGTAGATTTTTGCAGATCCCAGCACTTTTTGGTCATGAGTATCTCATGTGGCTGCCCAGTCTGTTTAAGTGCATGTGTAAATATGTGCTAATTTCTCTGTATGTATTCTGTGCTACATGGGAGGTTTTAATGATCTGGGCATAGTAAAGATCAGGACAGAGTACTTTGAGCAGCATTAGCTGAAAACTGGCGCATGGTTTCTGGGTCAGATTTAACTCGTTTGCTTTACCACAGAAAGTCTCTTGAACCATTCATGTAAAGGCACACGCTTGTGGCCATCTCATCTTGCACTGTGAGCATTATAGTGCCCAGTTTTGCCTTTTTGAGTGTGACCGTGACTTTGGCAGCTTTTATTCCTTCTTAAAAGGAGCTGGACTGGTGCAGTGATGTTTACGACTACAAATAGATGAGGTAGCTGAGAAGATAACTTAGTATTTTTTCTGAGATTTATAAGTAGAGTTGACAAAGAACATCCTCGCCTAGATGTGGAGAGGTGAATGGTGCACTCTTACTTTTTTTTTTTTAAAGAAGCGCTAAACACATTTCTTAATTCATGCATTGCCTTGAGCAGAGTATGGAGTGATAGCAGGCATAGATACATACACATAAAACAACTGGTAGTCTTGTCTTCCTCTGGTTCATATGAAAAATAGATGGACATATCGAATGGGCTCTCTGAACCATGTTAAGAAGTTTAGACAATGAATGGTGGTTGAACATTTTGCAGAGAAATACTTTAACAGTTAATCTCTTCTCTAGACAATCCATCTTGACTTTTTAGAGGTGGAGAGAAGCTTGGCATCTAACACAGTCAAAAGACGTGTGCGCAATTCCCAGATGCAGCTATTGAAATTGTATGAAACTACAGATAGATAGACAATAGATAACATTCACAGACCATAAAGCTACTCTTATATGAAGAAAAATGGCAACTCGGTCACTGCCATCATTCTCTCATTTGCTATTTGCTGATGTGCTATTGAATTCAGCCCTCTTAACATAGATGGCCTGGGCATCTGAAACTGATGGAACCATGTAAGTTGTTGTGGCTGGGCAGAAAAAAAAACACCCTTGTGGCTTCTACACACAGAGTAGATTTGGCCATGCAGTGTGGAACTGCAGTGTGCATCCACTGCTTGGCAGCAGCCCTCTTGCTTCCCTGCTGCACACGTGGTACCCAGATGCACAGCCATCACTGTCCGCTACCCTTCGCAGAGGTACCAAGAGAGCAGACATTCCTTTGCTTG